TTGTGGAAACAAAAGGGCAAGAGACAGGGCTTTTTCTGTAGCAGCTCCTCATCTCTGGAATAGCCTGCCTGAGGCCATTTGACAGGCTGAGTCTCCACCTTAAGACCCCCTTTTATTCTGGCTTTTAATTGTGTTTAACCCGTTTTATTTTCATCTGACTCATTGGGTTTTAAATTGGGTTTAACTTGATTGTATTTCAGCCTTGCTTTATTTCCACAGCGCTTGGTGCAAAGCCTGTATGCTTTTTAAAGTGCTATGTAAATTAAATACACGAGAAACTGGAGGGATGGTGTGTGTCATGCAGCTGGCTGAATGAGGTTAGAACAGGTGAGGTTTGCGCTCCATGACCCCATTTGGCCGACATTTCATGATTCTGAAGCTGATAAAGTGGGTTTTAATGGATTATCTTTGTTTATTACAATTACGGACATAACATTTTTATTTTTGCTCTTTTTGTATACGATCATATTATACTTGCCAAAGTAATACAGCAAAGCCAGATGCAGGTAAGAAATGTGGTGTAACACTCATTGTTTAGCCTCCAAATAAATATCCCTCATTACAAAGTAACTGGTCTGCACAACTACGGCAAGTAAAGTAGGTCAAAATTGAATGAGGAAGTCAGTTGGCAAACTATTGACTATATTAACTATAACTAATTTGAACATTCACCTTTGTGCTCCTCTCCTGATTGAGTCTGACTAGGCTGAGGGTTTATTTTGATATCAGCAAAGTAGTAACATAAGTAACCAGGTTAGTATTAGTTAAATTTCAATGTGATTTTAAAATTGCAAGACAAACAAAAACAATGCAAGTGTCTACTGATAAAAGATAAAATAAAGAGATGTTGAAAAAAATGAATAATAATAAAAATAAAATAAAGTATTAAAAAGGAGATTGTGACTCTGAAGTGTATTGTACTGGGTGTCTCTTGTTGTGGCAGGACGTATTTAGCAGCCAACACTCCCCCCAGAGGAGGGGTCATTTCTCTCTTTCTGTTTTTTTTTTTTTGAAAGAACTCCTCCCTTATATTTTCGTATTTTTGATATTCTCTCAGAGAGTGTAAATCTATCTTTACATCTCCCTCATCACACTGACAGCACAGCTTGTCCTCTCTGGGCAACCAGGTCCTCCTGTCTCTTTTGCAGACTATGGTCACTCAGTCTATGCATTGTCGATGTCTTTCTCAGGTTCTTATCAGTTACCATGGTTAGCTAGTCTTCCATAGTATACTTTCTTTTTCTTTAGTGATTATTTGGTTAAGTCAAATCCTCTGAGCAACAGTGTAACTGCTCTGAGGCTGGCTGGAGACTACTTTCTACGGTTAGGGTTAGCCATGTCTTCTTTTTGGGACACATGATAAAACCTATAAAATAAAATTAGAAGTAAAATCCTAGGTCTGGCATAGACTTTTAATTTGAAGAATACACTTTAAAATGTCACGTGTTATAGTGGCCATCTTTTGCTTAAAGGTCTTACAAATAACTTATTACACAACCTATTCTGACATTACAGGGTACAGTATTATTACAGTATTACAAAAAATATGGAGTGATGACCTCTGTATCACTTAATAAATAAATAAATTTTATTTCAAAATGGCCTTATTACCAACACACAGGCAAACTAAATTGTTCTTTTATAATTTTGTAGTACTTAAAGTAACTATGGGGTACATCTATACATTTATTGCGCTGCAATCTGAAGCGTTACCAGTTTCTCTTTATTAGGCCCTATGCTGTTTACAGTTTATAGTACTGGGGCAGATGGACGCTGACAATGCAAAGATTGTCAGTTAGATTTTAACTAAAACTGCGTCTGTGCCCTGGCACACAACACTGCAAACCCAAGAGCAGGTGACTTTTATGGTCATGTGACTTCATTTTGAAGTGCTGAGCTAGGACTTACACTGCTGTATAAACTAACTTTTTTTTCCCAAGGTTAAAAAGCTAGGCTCATATCAGCCCTGGACTCTGGCCTGTAATTGACCCCCCCCTTTCACAACTAACACACTGTAGAGGTACATAATCTGCCAGCTCATAATAGCTCAGCTCACTTTAACAGGGTAGATAACTTATATAACTTAGAGTGTCAGTCATTATTAAGCAGGACTACATTGATTGATAGTTAGTCTCCTCAACACCACAATAACTTTTTATGATAAGTACTTATCTACTGCCACTGCTCTTATCAGCTGGACTGAGCTCAATGTCAGAAGACTAGGTTTGTAAGTGTGTGCATGTGTGTCATGTCATACTGACACACATGCACTTACTGTACATATGTTGTACTTTATAATGTCGGTCAGTGTTGTCTGAACTGTCCTTTTCTGACTATTTCTGTGTATTGATTCATCGAATGCAGTTATGTGATTATGTGTACAAGGCACTATCCAAGCGCTCATCTGGAAGTGCGCATCCTGCAACGGCACATGTGCTTCGTGCAAACAGCGCAAAAAAGTGAGGCAACATCTTACACTGATGAAACTTTTCCAAACCTATTTTTTTTTTTTTTTTTTTTTGCGAAACTGCAAGACGTGCCTGGATGCACATTCACAAGCAATTAAGAATGAGTAAAACTTTCCCAATACACACACACACACACATACACAAAGCGTTACGTGAAGCATGAAGGCCTGTTTGTCCTCGGGGACGGCTCATAAAGTGAGTCAGGCATGACTGGGAGGCCTTAGACGAGAAAGCAGTCGCATCAGGGAGGATAGAGTTTCCATAAAAAGCCAGAAGATCAGGTATGCAGCCCCAGATTTAAAAAACATGTAATATTAGACACAGACAGACAGACAGACAGGCAGGTAGACACCCAGATAGACAGCTGCCCGCCACATTAAATAGCATTTGCTTGAGTATTGTCTCATAACCTCTTATCCCCCAGGCCAGAGATGTTCCTTATGCTGTATTATGGGTTATGACTGGTCTGACCACAACCAGATACAGTTATCCAGTTTTTATTCCACTCCCCCAGGGCTTTCTGTCCCAAATGGGCCTCTGTAGCCGCAGACAACAGGACTGGATTAGGACCTACAGGAAATATGGCTCAAGGATCAAATCAAATCTGCCTCACTCACGCACACACACACGTACAAAAACTGCAAGGTGACAGCCAACAACATCTTCACATTTGTCTGTAATGTGTTGTCATGTATCTTTTTATTGAGTAGAAAGTTGAAAAAAAAAAAAAAGTCAGCTACCAAGAAGAGCTGTTGACACCACATTCAGTCATGCTGTAAATGTGTTGTCTTATCTTCACTGTATGAGCGCTGTCAATAAAGTCTTCTTCACTTTCTGTTAAGAACACACAGTTTCTACATTGGAAAATCAGTGATCTTCCTTCAAGTTTAGTGAAATTTCATCTGATCTTAATAGAACTTTTTTAAAGACCTGCATTTTACTGGTAGATGTATAGCATAACAATTAGCGACAAAATGTACTCAAGTATCATAATTTAAAGTACTCATTTTGTAGAAATACCCCTTTTAGAAAGTGTATTTTTATTAATTATATGTGTTATATTATTGGATTATTTTTATTACTGAGCATTTTAATGTCCGATGATTGAGGTAATTCTAATAAATGTATATTCTGTTACATGCTTCACCTTGAATGAAAAAGGTGTGCTTATCCTGAGCCTATAAGTCTGGGTTATAACTTCTGTTGGTCTGGTCATAACTGACTTGTGCTACTGTAATGCTACATTTAAGATTCATGTTTAGTTGTCTCTTGTGGCCACAGTGGCCGCTATTCAGCAAGATTTACATAGGCTCACTTTAACAATGCATCATGATGCATATGCTGATCATGTTTTGTAAGTAAAATCTTAACCTTCAAAGTAACTGGAAGCTAGCTGTAATATAAATATAGTGGAATAAAAAGTAAAATTTCTACAAAGGTATATTGGGGATAAAGAATAAAGTACACATTTTACAGTGTCACGCAGATACAGGAATGAACATGTAAGTATGTATGGCTGGCCCCAAGCATATTTTAATATCCTGTGTTATTATAAATTATCAGTATTATCACAAATTCCTTTCAAGCAAAATCCCAGAAAGCCCTGGTTTTATCTTTCTAGTTTTGTCTCCTCGTTTTGTGCGGGGATAACAGAGGATGTTTTCCATTACCCAAAAAAATATAGACAAGCCATCTGCTGGGACAAGGATAATCACTAAGTATTGCTGCGTGCAGGCATGAATGAGTGAGTGAGAAACCAGACTCTGAGTCAGAGAGCTGGTCCAGCATGGGGAACAGATAAGACACAAAAGGCTTATATCACAAGAGCCCTTTTCAGTTTCACTCTAATCTGAATACTGTTTCAAATAAATCCATCCAGAATCTTCTGAGAAGAGAGATAAAAGGGTGCTTCTCAGCAGAGCTGCAAAAGCATGACAAAACTAGTTCCCTAGTGGGCTAATATGAGTCAGTGCTTTGAGGGTTAAACCATGTTTTCAGTCCCCACATGGTTTCACATGCAAATTTCCAGTATACAAACATAACGTGGATGCACGTATTAGGCTACATATGTAAAATGTATATGTTAATAGGTCTACTTAGAAATAGGTCAATTTAAAATTGGACATAGAGGCCTGGATAAGTAATATATGAAGTGTTAAGGAAACAGTTTGCAGTGATGGACACATAAAGAAAAGCCATTTACACACTCATAGATTCACATGATGCTAAGATGCCTCAAAACATGGCTGTAAGAAGCTGCGCAATAATAGTGTCTATCCATCCATCGTCAACCGCTTATCCTGCGTACAGGGTCGCGGGGGGCTGGAGCCAATCCCAGCTGGCATCGGGCAAAAGGCGGGGTACACCCTGAACAGGTCACATACAGACAAACAACCACTCACACCTAAGGACAATTTAGGGTCACCAACTAACCTAGTCCACATGACTTTGGACGGTGGGAGGAGCACCCGGAGAGAAGCCACACAGACACAGCGAGAACAAGCAAACTCCACACAGGCCGGGGCACCCGGGGTTTGAACCCACGACCTTCTTGCTGTGAGGCAACAGTGCTAACCATGCCCTCAATAACAGTGTATCTTTGGTAATTACTGTATTTTTTTAAAAACATTTTAGGAGCACTGAAATCAGATTGTACATACACACAAGAACACAGCTCCTTTTCTTTCTCTTCCTATGCTGTTTCCAGGAGCCAGCTGGGGTCACGCTGAAGGTCACTGTGTCATAGAGAGGTCCATTGATAACAGCCAACAAACTGATCAGCAGTCTGCAGTAAGAATCACACGCACACATCAGATGAGCAGTAAAGCAGTGCATGATTCTATTAGACGTCTATCAGACAGGTCATGTTAACTAACTTTGTAGGTCAAAAAGGGCAAAGGTCAGCATGCTGACCTGAGGGTGACACATACTGTAATGAGTGTAATGTGGATGTCCTGACTGCGGTGGTGGTGGTGGTGTAATGACCTTAATTCCCATTTGTGTGTGTCTGTGTGGGACTGGGTGTGTTCGTGTGCTGGTAGAATTACAAAGACAGCACATTGTAAAAGACAGACTTTGTTTTTCAAGTATAATAAGGATCAATTCGTGGCTTTTAGTCACATTCATAGGGAAGTTAAAGGAGTGAGTTAGGTTTGAGTGCTTTGCTCATATATTAAACCAATTCGACTGTAAGGTTTTTATTTTTTGTATTCTCAGTTAACCCTTTACGGCCTTTAGCTATCTCTCTTATTTAGAACAACTTGTTTCATGTGTTTGTTGTAAAAATAAATAAATAAATAAATAGTCAATTATGCAAATACAAACGTTTTTGTAAAGTAATTGAAATATTTTGTTAAAAAGAGTTACTCAGTAAATCTAAATTAACTCAATCCCTAGATGGACCTTCTCTTCTCTCTCCATATTTTTTTTCTAGCCCTGTTCACATCATCTTCTTTCTTCGTGTGTATCTCCCTCTCTCCATCTCTTACCTTCTCTTCCTGGCACTCTCACCCTCCCTCGTGTGTTTCCGTGGTCTCATGATTAATTAGAACACACCAAGAGGAGAGGAGGGTGGTGTCAAGGTGGCCATGGCATCCAACTCGTCAGCGGGTGTGGCCTGAAAAGTCAAGAGAGAAAGAGGTGGTGTGATGTTTCCTATTGAACCACTATGTGTGTGTGTGTGTGTGTGTGTGTGTGTGTGTGTGTGTGTGTGTGTGTGTGTGTGTTCACAAAGATCATGTGGCTGTGTTTTTAGAGTGCAGTGATCCGGTCATATGATGATCAACACCTTAATACCACACATTACCAGTGACACAGAGAGGTAAGTGAACTAGTTTCAGCACATACGTACATTTACATAGCAAACCATATGCACAGTAGATGTTTTCAGAGACATTTAAAGACTCAATTTGGACTTTTAAAGGACATTTTTCAGTTTCTTGACATTTACTCCACAAAATATTGATGTTGATTTATCATAAAGATGCAATCAACAGATAATTAGTAATTAGTAAATTATTATGAGATAACTAATGTGATGCAAGTATGCATGATTATGATTTACTGTTACTGCTGCAGGTTTCAGTGTAGGTCTCCTGATGAAAATGTAGTTTGAGATACTTTTTCACTCTGACAACAATAAAAGTTTGGATAAGAAAAATGCTTATATGGTCTTCAGAACAAGATGTCCTTGACTTTGTGTACTTGACAGTGTTTGACACCAGCTGTCCTGGACTGTCCTGCTTTGGGTGACTCCACCCATCTGGTGTCCACAAGTTAAAACAAACACTGTGCGCTTTGCAAATACTGCCTGACCCACTTCCACACTGCAATGTCATGTGTGTGACAAAGTTCTATGTCATTTTACTGCACCGCCATGTTACTCAAGGAAATAGACTGATAGCGTGTGCATGAGTGCCGCTCAAGAAGCTGTTTGTGTGTAAGGGAGACCAGTCCCATTCGACTCATGGGTTTCAGGAAAGTCTATAAATGTTACGTGTCTAAAAGATGTGTTTTTGCGACGTAAGAATGTGGTAGTGTTCTTGTGTGTGTGTGTGAGCGTGTATGTCCTGAGGTAAACTAATTACCATGTGTTGCGATCAGCTGTGGGCCCTGAAGCCTGCAGGGAGAGTTCCTCTGTGGTCAGTTGACCCCGGCTGTTCTGTCTATCTCTTCCTCCCTCCCTATCTCTCTCTCTCTCACACACACACACCCACATGTGAACACTGTGAACTCAGTCACCCTACACATGCCACTCACTCAGGCACGTCGTGTAGAGGCCCTGTAACAGAGAGACAGGAGGAATATACATATATGCCTAGGCTGTCATTAAGTTCCATGCTGAACAAGCATAGAAAGACATTAAATACAGTTTTCCAGCCTGTGACTGTGTAGTAGGTTAGTGACCAGTGTTGGGAAAGTTATTCAGGAAGTGTAAAAAGTTACTTTCTCCTTTTTAAGACTCAAAAAGTAATAATTTTACTTAATTGATGCAGCACTTTTTGTAATTATTACTGTTTTGTAAATCACTTACACTACTAGTTACTGGGGAAAGAAATATTACAGTAACTGCTTACGCATTACTAAATTGTGGCTGATGGAGGGATTTGAGATCAAAATCCAGCCCCCACATTGCCATCCCACCCTCAAGAATTTTTCCCAGTAACCAAAACAGACAAACAAACAAACAAACAAACACACACACAAAAACAAACATTTATTTTAATTTGTTTTTCTCTTTTTCTTGTCAGTGTCCTAAATGGAGGAAGCTGTGAACACAGTGTCTCTGTTGCACCATCCACTTTTACTTAACCTTCCTTTGCCGGCGTAAACATTGCTCCACAAAAGAGGACTGTGTCAATTGTATGAACATAAAGTCGGTGCTTAAAGCCACCAAATTTGCAGCTTTCTCAAATATTGCACCATTGGTAAGAAGAGCAACATATGTAATGTTTGGTTCTACATGGAATTTTTGAAATATTTCTGCTCGCGGATGTTACTGCAGCTATTGTAGAGAGAGCATTATGTAAGATGTTTGCATCTCTTCTGTGTATTTATCCTGTTGTTGATAATAGTTCACATAGATCGTTTGTCTTATCCTAAGGGAAAAGCAAATTTATCCCCTCACTAATTAGGAGGACTTTGCTGTGTCAGCTTACATTTAGTTCAAGTACAAGCATGTGCAGATGAAGGACACTTTTACATGCACACACAAGCCTATGCACAAACACCTCTATTTCTAGTCAGTCAAGTTGTCGGAGGGCCGGGATATTTGCAGCTGTCATGGTTAAAAACACAGGGTCTGGAGCAGCGTAGCTAAATACTAACATGAAGGAATCCAGGCAACCACCAACTGACCTTTAACACACATGCACATGCACAACCACACCAGGCCTCTTTCCCACCTGCTGGGAGTGACTGTGTTGTCACCTCAGTAACCCTAAACCTGATCGAGGCTTGCCTAGCTCTCCCCCTCTCTTTCATGTGTTAAGTCTTTCACCCTATTATTGTCCCCCTGTATGTATAGATCAGTGTTCAACAGTCACTATATTTCATGTGAATTTCAATAACAACTTCAAAGGGGAACCAGTGACAGTTGACACTTACCATTTGCATTGCATTTCAGTCTGCACAAGGATCAAGCTCGAGATTTTTCTCGAACTTTATCGCTAGATAGAAAATGTGTTTCAAAAGCAATATAGTAGCAACTAATATAATATGACACATTGTCAGATTATAGTACAGAGGCTTGAAGTTGCATCACAATTCTAGAAACCGCATCTCACACCATAGGGTTCAGAATTGGATATCCATAAATTAGACAAACTGAGAAAAGGTTTTTAGTGGGTGTGTGTGTGTGTGTGTGTGTGTGTGTGTGTGTGTGTGTGTGTGTGTGTGTGTGTTAAGGTGTTAAGTTTTGTTTCAGATAGTAACCGTAGTTTCACGGCATTCTAGACACTTAGCAGAGTAGAAGTCCCAGAAGATGTCAACACCTGCATATCAAAACCTGATCATTTGTGTTTGGGGGCAGGTCTTTCACGCAGATCTAAGTTCTATCAAAGGCATATCATTAGGGGAGAAATTTTGAGAAAAAATAGTCCGCTGACATGGTGTCCGCTCATTTTCATGTTGAACAGACTGCTTCTGTAACGTGTGTATCCCTTCAAATAGTCAAAATATGTGCTAAAACTAACTTCTAAAAATTCTACGAGACCTTGAGAATGTTTTTGTCTTTTTGCTGGTGAGTAATCACGTTTTAAAGTTGTTAACTGCTCTGCTTGTACTCTGTGTTCTTTGTCAGTTCATTAAGTCCATTAAAAAGTGGTCCCACAGTAATGAACCTTGAATCATTACTGTAGCCCTGTCTCTACTTCATTTTTCATACATATTCTGTTATTTCTTTCTGAGCTCTTTGTGCTGCAGAAACTTCACCAGAAGTCACCAGAATTTGACTGAAGGTGTGAAAGCAGCTCTCAGGCTGTTTTGTCGCATCAATAAAAGTGCCCACTGCATAAGGGCCCACTAGAAGTCCTCAGCCTCTCTACAATGAGCCATCAGCTCTGCGCCTGGAAAGTAGAGATTGACAGAAATGTGGCTAGGAGTAAAATTAAGTGCTAGTGATGCGTACAGCTAGCATCTACCAGATATGTTAGCTTTTGTGTAAATTAATTGTGTAATGAAGTAGCAACTTTAAAATGAAAGCAACATTATGTAGTATTTTGATCTTAAAATAACAGCTTCCAAATCATTTTGAAGGTACACTGACTTGTAATAGGGTGAAAGGCACCACAACACATCAACAAAACTCATCAGCAAGCATACGATAAAAGAGTATAGAATGTACAACGTCAGAAGATGCTAGCTCAGTATTCCTATTGTGGATATCATGGCAGAGGCTGCGAAGAGACCGAAGATGTTGAAAGAAGTGAGGAAGAGAAAAAGAGAGTGTGACCAAGCAAGAGACCGGACAAGGGTAAATATCGGACTAGCTTTTACTCATTAGCGTGAGCTAAAAGAGCTGAAAGGATGCAAGCTGGCCTTTCTGTTGGACTGGGAAGTAATAATTTTTTGCTATGTCTTGTGTTGTTGCCTGTGTTAGCAGAGTTGTCGACTTATCATCTAACAATATAAGTCAGAGGTTTCACAGACAGAGGATTAGCCGCTAGCTATAAACCTGAAGTTTGTGTTAGCAAACTTACTACACACTGTACTTTGAACATTGGTAACGTTACTGCTGTCTAGCTTTGCTTGCCAACCAAGTTTCAGGCAACATTATGCTGCTGCTGGTGGAGAGCGGTGCCACTGTTGTGCCAGAGCCGGGCAAGAGGGAAGCCTAACCGGGCTCAATAGCCTCAATGTAGACATAATGTTAGCGAATTTCTGAATGAGGAAGATGTTGTCAGAGGAGCTTTTGGAAGAGAATAACAGAGTGACCAAGCAGAAAACATCAACATATTGACCCAGGGAAACATAGATTGAACATTTGACCTAGGGAAAACATTGCTGAGAACTTAAACCTTTTGAAAGGTCTCCTAATGTGTCATATTAAGAGGATATTTGCTGGGGCACATAGGACCCTGGGAGCATAGAATCCTGGGGACATAGAAACACTGATTTTCTCTCTCCCTCCCATTCAGCTGGCTGTAATGACGGTGAAGGAGGCTGAGGCAAGCCCTCCAAAGCAGGAGGAAAACCGCACTAGACAAACATGTTCTCTCACTGTTCCACACAAAGGCTCAACCAAAACCAATATAAATCGTTGAAAAATCATGCACCCTGTAAGGTACACACACGTACACTGGTCAAAAATAATAAGTAGTGTGACAAATAGCAAGATATCCACTCTCAACAAATGTAGCTCCTGAACTGTATGAAAGTTAGGCTTTTTAGAACCTACACTTATGAAAACAAGTCAAACCAGATGTAAAAATTGTTTTCCTGAATGTCCAAAATGTCTCTCCAGGAAAATAAGGGCTCTTCCATGGTTCTTTGGTTTTGTGAGTGGTTCTATATGGAGCTATAGTAACCTGTAATCTCTGATTTAAAAAGGCGTTTCAAATAAATAACTTGTGTAACCTGTTGCCCTTTCTAAAAAGGTTCTTTATAATACCAAAGTCTATTCTGCTTGAGGTCTAAAGAACTATTTTCTAGTACTACATAAAACCTTTCTTGTTCCTTGTGTAGGGACAGAATAAAAAAGAGATACAGCGAGGGAAATATGATAGAGAGTGAACCCAGTACTGTGGGGAAAGCCATGTGTTCCCCTGACTGCTGATGCACTGATAAAGACTGAATGGATGTGGTGTTGTTTTCACAGGGCAGTTGAATGCACTGTGATGTGACTGAGCCTAAGAGAGCTCAACTCTGTGAACCAGCATGTGATACATGGAGATGGACTTATTCCCATGATACCTCTGCAAAAGCAACAGCCTGGTTGGATAACTAGTTGGGACCTGTCACACATCCTCCACATTACCTACAATTGTCATGAAAAAGAAACAAAAGAAATGGTCACAAATAGTTGTAAGTAAATAATAATGTTATGTAATAATACAGATATATTTTTAGTTATATGTTATTTTTCAGTTCTTCAGGCAGCACCCATATAGTGAGATGGTGGTCACAGTTTCAGAGACAGATATCCTTAATACCTAAAACTGAAACTATCTGTGTTTCCACCACCTACCAGATGTAAAAGAGAAAATGTGTTAAGTGGTTTGTGTGAACTGGCACTTAAAGGTAATGGTGTGGAAAAGAACATTTAGTTGACCTGCATTCTACAGAGACCATTACTGAATCGCCTGAGGCAATTTATCAGACTTATTGCAGCTCCCTCTGGAGCCACAAAGGGTTTTATATAAAGTTTTTTTTTCACATATGCAGTAGTACTCCCCAAGACATGTAAACAGACGGTGTAGTTTCCCTTTTAGTTAGACCGGCCATCCCTCTTTTGAAACATGTAAAAGTGTATTTACTTTTGTGAGGTGCTCTTAACTGATACTATACATATTTAGCAATAAACTAACTTGGTAACCTCCCTGTTTACTTAAGGGGGCTATATGTAGATAAATAAAATATGTCACTTTTTTTTTGCCTGTTTATAAATGGGTTGTAACCTCACATTAAAATTTTAGTTAGTTTAGTTTAGATAACGCTAGCTTACTGGCTAATGCCGACCAGTTGCTGACATACATTGCAAAATGTTATGGATTGTTACATTACTACACCAGCTAATGTGATATGTGACTATTCTATGTACTGGTATTATTTCAAAGTGTTTATTTTTTTTAATTAAGTATTGAATTTAGCTTTCAAGAAATTATGGTGATGGAGTGTTTTTAGCTATGCTGAAACAAACAATGGAAACTACAATGATACATTGTAAATAAAGACTATCCAATAGGTTCTCAATAAATTTTTTCATTATCGTCCAATAAATCATCCAAAAAATTTAGCTGTGCTGACACTGCTGAGCCTCTGGTAAATGCAGTTAACATTGTCATGCAAAGACCATGGATTAATTCAATGTCAAGCTGATGAAAATATTACTCTTACTTTGCAATGGGAGTTTCTAGCATTAGGTGTCATGCTGTTTCCGTTGTGTTTGGCTCTTTTTTGGTTCCTCATTGCTAGACGCCACTGGAAACTACACATGGCCCCTTTAAGTTCGAGCTGCGTAAGAAAATACATAGAAAATTCTGTATTTAAAGGAAGGGAAACTATGATTGCCTGAATATCTCTTTGGATCAAAAATGATAATAATTTTATGCGAAGAAAATTGGACTTGGACTCGTGTTTCAATAAGATTTACCTGGGAAAATTACTCACTGACTGCTGCTTTTGTCTGCCTGATGCAGTGATGTTATAACAGATGTTAAAATGTAGATGCAAACTGCTATGCAAGAATATTTTGATCAGATCTTGTTAGAGACCGAGAACTGTTTGATCTCCCAGGCTGCTGTAACACACCATTTTATCAGATTCTTCTTAGTATTTATTCAGAACTGTAACCACTTCCTTCTGAGTTGAACCTTCACCTGCCAGGACCATGTTCTCATTCCCAGCAGAAACCAAACACACTCCAGCTGATAACAGTATTATTGGCTGAGGGCAGATATGACTTTAACCCAGAGACCTCTGGACGCTCGGGTGGGGGGAGGTCTGTTAGAGGTTAAAACTCGGTTGTACAAACATACAACCCCTCTACACACACAAACCCTCAGAAACACACACACAGACAGAATAGCGACAGTAGGTGTGCGTTTGACGCGACTAACAGATGTTGCTGCCTGGTTCCAGCTGTTCCCTACCTGGCTCCTCAGGTTAGTTGGGTGGTGTTCGGCCCTAATGACACAGACACATATGCTTGCACACACTCATTTGCACACTCACTACTACAGTTATCACACCAGCTATCTCTGACTCACCAGATTTATGTGTTGTTTGCCAGCACACACAAACACAGCAGTATTTCGACTTGTTTATGTGTTTGTGTGTGCGGGACGGGGTTGTGTTTACCATTTGGAGGAATGTACAGTATTTGGTAATGTGAAAAGCAGCCCTCAGTGGCCAGGAGTCGTACAAACACACTCTGTTTTATCGGATGGGCCTGAGATTCCTCTGTGGACACCCAGGGGCATGAGTGAGGAATTTAAACACTTTAACATGCTGTCTCACTGTTGGTGATCTAATACTACTGTGTGTGTGTGTGTGTGTGTGTGTGTGTGTGTGTGTGTGTGTGTGTGTGTGTGTGTGTAGAAAACAAATGCCAACTAATTTTTGTCTCACTGAGTCTATTCATTGACACTACTATAAAGATTGTAAGTAAAATTAATCCAAGTACTATATTTATTTGAATACTGATTATTCACTATAATAGAGGACTGTATCTGATCTATGATGATTGATTACTGACATCTCCTTTTATTTCTTACCAGGTTTCTTCTGTTTCCAGGTCACATGAGTATCCGTGTTCATTTCATCATGTGTACAGTTTCTGTTTGCAGCACTTGTGTGTTTTTAAGTGTCAGTGTACAGTAGTCTGCTTGGACAAAGACAGCCCGTCGGTCTTATTGAATCTGGTGCAGATCAGCAACGTGACCACCTGTGTCTCTTATCATGTTACTCGGCGTGCATGTGAACACATGAACACATTATTCTTTATGCAAGAATCTAGGTCAGTGTTGCAACCAGGAGTACAGCAGGGCAGGAGTGAAATCCTGACATGAGGTGAAACTTACCCAAATGGTCACAGCATTACAGTTGCCAGTGTTTACAACTTTTTGTTACATTATTGAAATTGCTCTTTCCCCACTGACAGCTTCAGTTGCATCTCCAGCTGTCCAATCTGTCTTTGAATTTCCTCTTTATGTTTTGTTCCTTTTCTCCTTACGTACTAAGGATTTGTCTGAGAGTTCTCTTGTTTTCCTAGAGAGCTTGAGCTGGGTCAGGAACCACAGCTTTGGAGTAAGCCCTCTAAAGCCCATTGAGAAATTACATGTGATATCGGGCTTTACAAATGAACTTGACTTGACTTGTCATCGTCAGAACAGTTATGATGAGAAGCTGTTTTCCCTCTAGACCTGGTTGAATAATACATGCCTTTATTAAAGGCTGTCAGTGACACTGTTATCTTTAGCCTGAAGCTGCTGACAGTAGATTTTTTTGCAGCAGTAGTAGCATAAAACTCAATGAAAAAGTTAATGTTTCCCTTAGGATTTGATTACTGGTAGAAAGAAAAAAATGGGATGAGGCACTAAAACTCTTCATAGACAAAAAAAATACATGATTTGTAATGTTGGCTATTTTCATAATGTGCAGCACAAAAGAGAAAGACTATACTGCAATAAATATCATTATGATATACATTTCTTATAACCCTTTTTATGACAGTATGATTACTGGTATAATCTGTCAGCTCCGCTTTGGCCTCCACCAACTCCAGAGGAAAATATGTGGCGCTGACACTGCAAAATGCTCCACTATGTTCATCGGCTAGTCGCTTACTTTGTCATTTGGTGTTTTATTACATTTTAACATATCTGTATCATGGAATGAAAACCTGACATGACACTCAAAATGGTGAGCATTACCTTGGCCATTAACGCTGGAGTGGTTGTGTGCTCTTTAGCTCTACCTTATTCCTCTCACACAAAGTCTTCACACATTTTGCCTCTTGGCCTCAGTTGCTCTGACAGCCTCACTTCTTCTGGAAAGCCTTTTACAAGAGCGTAATATAACCCATCAGTAAATTTCAAGCTCAGCGCTGGAAACTACCTCTATGAAGATTAATTCACATGCCAAGATGTTTGACAAGGAATTAATGCGGAGCCCAATGAGTGGCTATAACACTCGGCAATGAATGACTTCATACATGTCTCCAGAAATGAAAAAAAAAAAGAAAACGTTATTTCAAGTTTATCTAGCACTCCTCTAATAAACAGCAGCAGAGGAAAAGGGCTTTAATTGGAAGTTCTGGCCCAGTTGAGGGCGCTGGGAAGCAGCAAAACGTGCCGCTGTGTAAACACACAGTGACAGATTTGCCACTTTATCAGCAGAGAGATCTCAAACCTCTCATTTCCTCTGGAGATCAGGAGTCCCTGAGGATTTCATTGTGGATATGAGACGAGGAGGGTATGATGTGCTCTCCCATCAATATTATTTCAGCGATATATGGTTGTGAATGCCTCCAGCTGGAATTCACTAAACTCCCCCAAACAGCGACAGTCCAATCATACTAGGCATGGTTGGCCAGTCAAGCTTTGGATTTCTCCACATGTTAAAGCGGTGTGCACAGGGCTCTGAACTGAGCGATACCTGGCATTTAAAGACTTAAGAGGATGGCGTCTTTTTTAATCTTTCCAAAAGCAAAAAAGACAAGAATGGATAAAACTGTGTGTAATCCCCTCTAATGAAAGATGCAATTCTTAGCATGTCTAATATGCTAATGAGCACAATGGTGGCTCCGTCCTGCCCTTTTTAAATTTAGGGATATTTTAAGCAACGCCAGCAATGTTTCCCAAAACAGTGTTAGATTTCCCATATACAGTTTAGTTCAGTTTATCTGTTATCAGTCCTCATCCTAAAGGCTTTTTTTCTTGTATCGTAGTGTCACATACTGTTTGAAAAAACAAGCAAGCATGCAAGCAGCCAAACAAGAATATATTAGATCAGCTGGGTAGGTCTCTATTCACTATTACAATCATTAAAAAGCAAAAACAGTAGGGTTAGCTAGTGTTAGCTAACTAACATTACATTAGGAACAATACACAGCCAACATTTTTCTGGATTTGTTTTAGGTTTTCAAAAAAGAGAATAAACCTAACTTGTGATTGTAATTATGACAAGTGCCCCAGGAACAGTGTTTGACCATATCTTAAAAATACAGCAAAAAGCTAGAAAATGACACCTTTCGCATACGAGTCAATGGAGCGCAGCCATGAAAGTGTCGGACCACAGTTAAAGCGAGTCCTATACTGCAATGTGATTGGCCAGCTGCATGTTCGGGGCGTGGCTAAGAAAAGGGTCAATTACAGAAGCAAGCGTCATTGGAAGGTTGTTGGTTCAGTAGTTAGTTGTTACAGTTATCATTGTTCATTCTATCTTGTGACTTGCTTTCAATAAATGGGGTTCAGAAGTTTCCAAAACATTGTCTCTTGGAAATGAATTTACATAAGGTCTGGCCCTGGGTAAATAAGTGATGTTTTGTACCAAAATGACACACACCAAGGAATGAGAGAGGCAGATTGTGATTTTGGTCCCAAATCATAAATGCTTTGGTCCTACTGACTCACCGTCTGTAATTATATTCATTATCGCCATCAGTTAGTTATAACATGCCAAATTTCTCATTGTCATGCCTGGTTTCTGGTTTAAGCTTGTACTCAATTTTATGAACTTATATTGCCAGTGGGAGTGAAACTAGCCTTGTTTTTGTAACAGTTTAAAATCTTAAATAAAGGTGGAAGAAGGCAGGTTTCTGTCTCATGCGACTCAAGAAGCATGATTTATGAATGAGTGAATAGGATTACAAAAAAATAAAGAAGCAAAATCCTCTTTCCTTTGTAACATCCACTTCTCTGTTTAGTTTGGATTTCAGGCCATTCTGACTGTTTGTTTATGTTGAGTCACCTTTTGAAATTAGAGATTATTAAGGTTAGTTCCACTAGCTACAGTAACAACAGATGTGTGTGTGTGTGTGTGTGTGTGTGTGTGTGTGTGTGTGAGAGAGAGAGAGTGTTGCTGTGTGTGTCCAACATCTCTCAATGGTGGAATGCACCATTGAGAGATGTGTGACTGTTGCCGGCTAAACTTCATGGGAAACAACCAACGGCGTCCGCTGTTCACCTTGGAGAAAGTCCCGCGTGGCGCTCACCAAAAAAAAACCAAACCCCTGAATGGCTCCACACAAGCCCAAGTTTGAGATTGATCATTCAAATAAACATGAGTTTGTTTATAAAATGAAATCTATCTTTATTTACAGTAAACAGAGGTGTGTGTATGCATAGTCCCAGATGCAAAACACACACAGAAACAGATGCACATAAGGAGGCTGCAAATGAGCGCGGGAGGTGTGTTTTCTCGCTCCCCGATGGTGTTTGAGTAAGCAAGTACACACATACACAGGCTTAACTCAGTGTGTGTGTTTGCTTGTATGTGTGTATTGCTGCAGATAACTCCCCCTCTCTGGTGTATGAATGAGTGTCCTGAGAGTGCTAGATAAAGGTGGTCTGTGCTGCAGCTCTGCTTCACTGACCCTTAAAGGGGGCATTGATGGCAGGACCGGCCGGCTGCTGCAGCTCCTGGACCTGCATCCGCCTCCAGCACACCGGCAGAGGATGGATGAAAGGGGTGGGGGCGTGGGGGGTGTCAGGGGGTTGGGATAGTAGCAGGTCTGAGATCTGTGCAATAAAAGTCCTAACAGTGAGTTTGTGAACATGGCGGAGGCTGCCAAATATCAGTTCCGTTAGTGTGCAAACACAGCCGAGACCTCCGGTATGTGAGGCCACCACGGGTTTACTTGTCCTGCACATGGACACACATGCAAACAGCTGTTGTAAAGCCTGAATGGGGTTTTAATGGCCAATACAGATACAAGTATTTTTGTTCTGATATTCAACTGCCATGGCTGGATTAATCTGCAAGGAGCCCTGGGCCAAAAATGAGCAGGTGGGCCCTTGTTAGGCCCCATTTCTTCGACCCTATATGCAATATGCAATGCCATTTGTTCAACACAAGCACATTTTTGGAGTATGTACAAAACTGAAATAATGAAAGTCTAGATTTTGAAAGGACCCAACTTGAGGCCCTTATCATGTCAGGTGGTAATGTGCTGTATTGGTGCAAATTCCCAAACCCATTTTCAATTAAAGTAGCACACACCAGTTGGCAAACACAGTAAGCATGAAGCTTTCAGGGTCCATGGAGCTCCGGGGATCCAGGGCCGTTGCCTGCTTTGCAACAATGGTGACCCAGCCTCATCAACTCCAACAACCTCAACCAACTGACTGCATTATTGAATCATGGATAAAGATAAGGACATTAGCAGGTTTGATACACTTACAGTATGTATAGGTGGTCCTCAGTTATCATGAATTGTATGTTCCTGAACCAAATATGCATTCACTTTCTTGCCAAGAATTGAGACAATGATGTGATGATGAAGACCACGGGCTTAATGCAGCCGGCTTTCTTCAACATGTGTTCATCCACCTCTTTAAAATGAAGAAATCATGCTGCTTCCTGTTCAGTCTGAACGCACCATTACCGTGTAGTATGACAGTGACTGATATCACTACAAATCACAATGTCACAGATTTGATCCCTGCATAAACTAGTGAAGTGTTACCAACATATCACAGGTTACACCAGCTGTTCACAATAACAAATGCAATACTCATGCTGAATCATAGAACAGGATTTGACTTAAACCATTGTGGCTTTCATCATCACGCGACTATGATGAAACTCTCTAGCCAAAGAAGAATAGATGTGTGGTTATGTTGAGAAATGAAACAGGGCAATCTAATGAGCTCAGTGGAAAAAAATGAATCACATTAGAATGAGAAGTAGAAACATCATTAGTGAGCACACAAACACTCATTTCCTCCGGCTGGCCAGCAGATTATATCAACATACGGCTTTTGTTTGAAAGTTGCAGATATGAAATATGGACGTGAGTAAGTGCACTGCAACTTGACAGAGAAGTACTAAGCGACACCCCTTCTCCTCTGTTAGTGCATACAAACACACATACAGAGATACACACGGCCTTAGCAGCACCACATCCGGGACTAGGTGAACCATAGCACCTCTAACTTTCTGCCAGATGCAGGTCAAACCTCAAAGGCGCTCTGAACTCTCTACCTCTTAGAGCCAGAGCAGCCTCCATACCTCATTTTTTATTTCATGTACTAATGAAGTTTCGTAATGTATTCATACTGCCTTAGTGGTGCTTAAGTGCCATGACTTTGTATGAATGGTTGACATTGACACACAAGGATAATAAGAGTCTACATCCATGGTAGCAGCTATAAGGCTTTGCTTAGGTATACCAGTACTTAACTAAATGCTAACATCAGCATGCTAACATCCTCACAATGACAATGCTTATGTTGATGTTTCAGGTATATGTTTACCATGTTCACCAACTTTGCCAACATGAGCAAATTACGATTGGTCATAAACCAAAGTACTGGACAAATTAAAAGGTTGACCTGATGGGCTTTATGTGAAAAGTTAAGAGATCATCAAAGTTAGTACAGTTTAAAGTGAGGGCACCATGAAGTCTGTACCAAATCCCATCTAATAGTTGAAAAACTTTCACTAAAACCAAGAATGTCAACCTTAAGGTGGCGTTAGAGCAAACATCAGTAGGCATCTTCTGGGGTCCATGAACATCTCAAAACGTTGTGGCAGTCCATCAAGTGATGAAAGTGAAAACTTTGACCCGCTGGTGCCCTTCCTACAACCACGCTGCTTGCATAGCTAAAAAAAAAAACAGTCCACAACCTTCCAAGTACCATTCATTTTATCTGAGTACAACATAATGTTCTCTGATTAAATAGAAATAATACAAAGCATAATGTTCCAGACAGGAAATGATACATCAGGCACTAATTACCAAGGAAATGCAAAACGAGAGTCATACAATGACAACAACATGCAGTACAGTCCAGTATGCATACCAAGAAATAATAATATGATTATTATTTAGCAGGTGTGCGTCAAAGAACGATTTAATAAGAAGCATGAGTTAAACAACTGAATATGTTTAAGAAATGTCACTGGACTAATTAGAAAAATGGTTTTGTGGTTGAAGTTTGTAAGCGCAAAGGTATTCATGTCGTATGAAAGACACTTCCTTCCCCTGGTCTCTGCTATAAACATAAGGCATGATGATTATATTATACAGTAGGTCTTTATGAGATGTTGTATAGTGTGGTGTGGATATGGTGATCATAAAGAGTGTTAGCAGGCCCTCTGTCTAGCTGCATGACAATCTGAGCCTGGCCCTGAGCCTGGGTAATCACGGAGTGGCCGGGCCCATTCACAACGCCAGCTATACCCGTCCCACACAGCCACTCACTCAGCATAGTTATGCTATTTGTACAGTATAAACATTTTGGATGATTATATGTAATTACCCGGTGCAGCACGGGTGCATGGACATCCACACACACACACACACACGGATGGACTCTCACAAACCTGCACAATGACCTGAGGGATTCTCTTCCATGCTGAAAATTCTTTACTTATAAGGCAAATGAAAGATGTCAGGTACATGCTCAATGCCAAGTACCTCTCCAAATAAACACCCCTTTTAAATATTTTCATGTCAATCTCCCCACTTACTGCCACACTCCATAATTCTACTCCTTTCTCTCTCAATCTCTGCTCTCTCAAACCACAGTGCTGACCGTGAAGTTTCATTCATCACAGCAAGATCTCATGTATGGTTCACTGTCTTTAACGCCATTGGTCAGAAAGTGTAAGTAGGTCAAACACACGCAATGTCAACACACATCCCGGCATTCTCTTCTTCCGCCTATACTGCATTATCGCCCTCCGAGCTCGACTGCTGCTCACGTATTTTGAGGCCACTCCTGGTCTAAGTAAAGCCCCTTACTAAACTAGACAGGACATGTAAAATTTTACAGCTGCGTCTCTCTAATTCATGCCTGCCCTCTGTCTCTTCCTTTTCACCATGTGAAAGTTTCAGACCGTTGTCATGTTGGGCTGCAAAAGCTGAGCAGAGTGAGTGACACATTCAGCACAAAGACAGTGATTGTGGTTTTCAGGTCCTTCTCTTACATCGGTACTTGAACTGTTTTATATATATATATATATATATATATATATATCAGATCTGTTTTCAAAGCTGCTAGCTGTCACAGCGATATTATAGACAGCTTTAACATTATGATTATTATCATAAACACTACTATAAATATCTGTACCATTATTCATTCAGTCTATAGCAACATTACCTTTACTGTCTGTACGTCTGTGTGTGTATATTGTGTAGGCTCTCTCTCTCACCCCCAACCGGTCGAGGCAGATGGCCGCCCACCCTGAGCCATGGTTCTGCTCGAGGTTTCTGCCTCTTAAAAGGAAGTTTTTCCTTGCCTCTGTCGCCTAGTGCTTGCTCTTGTTGGGTTTCTGTAAATAACATTGGTCGGAGTACGGTCTAGACCTGCTCTTTTATGAAAAGCGCTCTGAGATAACTGCTGTTGAGTCATTTCTTCAGCTTCAGGGGAAGTAAAACAGGGCTCTCGAGTTTTATCAAAAGTTTGGAGTGAGATTACATCTGTTAGAGGAGGAGTCACTCAAATATGTGCAGCAGCAGCCCCTCGGCCCCACCATATAACAGTAGGTAAATCTGATAAAAAAAAATAATAATTCTGGTCCTTTCCTTAGTTTTAGTTAGCCAAAGCTAAGCCCAGTGGTGGACATTAATAAAGTACATTTATGCACTGTAGGCCCTACTTAAGTACAAATTAGAGGTATGTGTACTTAACTTGAGTGTTTTCTTTTCATGCCATTTTCTGCATCTACTTTTTAACTGAAGTAAGTAACTAAATAAAGTAAAATCCAACATAAAGTGTCTTAGTAAGGTTTTGTGCCGCTAAGGATCCAGAACAGCTTCAGTGCTCCTTGGCATAGATTCTCTGAAATCTACTGGGGTGATGAACAAAGATATCCCCACATTTTGTGTTTTGTCTAACATGTCGCTCTGAAATCTCCCATGGGTGTTCAACTGGTTTGCAATCTGGTGACGGTGAAGGTCATAGCATTCACATCAACTCCATACTTTTTAGTTAATTTAGTGACCCCTCTGGAAGTATTTGTTATGCTTTGTTTTTATTTTATTTTGTCACCTTTCTGTAGCTCTACAGGGAATAAATAGACAGAGAGTTAAATCTATTTTTTAAATGTAGAATGCAGTACATG